TCACGCTTGAGTGTGCTTTCAATATCTTTGCCTTTAGCATTTTTTTTTGGTATGAGCTTCAACGAATTTTCGCAAGACATCGATTTGTTGCTGATCGAGAACCTTGTTCTCAGCTTCTGCAATTTCGTCACGATTTTCAAGATAATTTACAGAAACGATAAGATATGCCCATCGTCTCAACTGCGACTCGGTCGGTTTAATGACCTCAGTAGCTGTCGAGGTCACTTCATTCTCAGAATCGTCCGAATTATATAATTGCTCCGAATCTGAATTATATTCTTCCTTATATACCGCGCTATCCGCGATCATCGGTTCGACGACAATCGACTCATCCACATTTGGAACTTCACTTACTTTGACATTCGAGGCCTCGACGGGATTGATCATCGATGGCGCTGGCGTATCAACAACCTCAGCGACGACTGGGGTATCAACAAGCATCAAATTTGAGATATTGATCGTATCTTTTGGCGTTTGCTTCATTTCATATCGTTCCTTGATATACGTTTTCAGGGCCTTATTCAATTGAGAAACACTGATAGAAGCACCCTCTTCGTATGTACATTTCTCGGAGATGAATTGGTAGGTGTTGTTGGTAGCCATACGAAGAAGGTTGCTGTTTTCAATGAATGAGACTGGACAGAACGACTCAACTCCTTTGTTCTTATATTTGGAATAAAACTTCAGATAGGTTGATCGACAGCGGTGTAGAAAGATGCCAAACTCCTGATCTTTGATCTTATTGACTTGTGGTGACATTTCTTCTACTATATTACTCTCCACGACGAGGTTTGTAGAAAAAAAGCTGAAGAGCTGTCGCAAGGCGCACATAAAAGGATGCTGTGATAAGTACAACCGCCTTAATCGATCAAAATCTCATGTTATTCAAAATATCACGTTCTCGTATAGAATGATTGATGACGAGTAATCATATGCAGAGACAAAAAAAATTAAGCTAATAGATTTGCCGCATTTACTGAGCTTCCGCCCATCTGATATGCTTTTGAGATTTGAAGTGATACGTTCTGCCTCTATATTGGTAATGACCGCCACATTCACATGAAACCTTATTGACAAGTCTCTCTTTATGAAGCTCGTTGTATTCCTTGTTTTTATCATTAAGCACTTCTTTATTGGCTTCCCAGTGTTCTCTTGTTGCTTTTGCCGTTTCAGTAGCCCAAATGGAGGAACCTTATTTACGCAGGTTTTCTTGAATTTGTTGATCCACAGCGTTTCATCAGCACGAACGATGTTTGAGTAGGTTGAACGTGCTACCAACATAGCAACTGTCGCTTTGACTACAAACGATTTTATAAACTGAACCGATCATGACTATTGTTATATTTGTAACATTTACATTCAAGATCAAACGTAACTAAAGTTATCCCAATCGAAACGACCCTCCTTTCATACGACGACGAGTCATGGGAGGTGCCATACCCACGTCGCTCACCTCTTTCACCAAACCACGCAATGGGGTAGCTTCAGGTCCGGCCGCGGTGGCAATACCATCCAAGAGTCCAGAAGTGATTGGCTTCCAGTTATCTTTAAGGAAACCATCAATACCTTTTGCAGCAGACTTGATTCCATTCCACAAGCTTCCCCAGAAACCAGAGCCACTAAGTCCCGACTGATGAATTCGAAGCACTTCTCCATGAGACATATGCAAAGTCGTTCCTTTGCCCGATTCGTAAGCTTTCACAAGGTTTTTGTAGTTCTCAGGATGGAAATAATGCGCATGACCCTTGTTCAACTGCGAGTGCGACAAACGAACGGGCTTGCAGTGTAAGACTTTGACAGCCTGCGCGTGGCTCAAATCGACGGGGAATTCCTTGTACATCTAAATTGAATATCTGGATTACTTATATAAAGAGCTAGAGACAAAACATGTCGAAGGTTAATAAATCTAAAACACTCAGTCTGGACGAAATTAAAAATATTATTGCTCGTGACATTAAGTTAGGAAGCGAGCATGACAATCTATCGGACACTACGGTAAATCTATACACTAGGCAACTGATCAAGCTCTACAAGGCCGGCGTTGCGAAAGAGCAATGGTCCCCAAATGAGTTCATCGCCAATATTCAGTATCCAAACAAATACGACGACGTGACGTTTCAAAAGACGTTTAAGGTACAGAGCTCGACGATCGTTGCACTTCTGATGAGCATCTGCACGAGTAAAGAGAGTCTGATACTAACACTGAACGCCATGTGTAAGATGGTCAAGAACAGATATCGGGATGCATTTGGATACTACAATACGATTCGAAAGGAACTGAGTAAGCAAAACAAGGCTGCAAAGCTGGACAACGAACTGACACCCGAGGAAGAGAAGAAATACATCAGCTATGAAGAACTCATGTCCGTCCCTGGTAAAGTCGCAAAGGTGCTCAACGAAACGTATGGCAAAATATTCCTGTCCCGATCCGAGTTTGAGGAGCTGGCCAAAGCTAAGAGAACTGATTACTTGAAGCTCGTGTTTGATTATATTACGTTGTGGTTGAACGTGCATTATCCACTTCGTTTGGTATGGCCAAGTGTCATGCTCACCCCTGAGGAAGGTGCTAATTGTCTTCAAGGAAACGTTTTACATCTGAATGATTTCAAGAATGTTCGGCTCATGGGACCGCAAACGATTCAGTTGGATAGCACTACGATGAGCTTGATCAAGTCATATCTTGAGTTCTTGACTAACACAGTTAGAGAACAACCTAGCAAACTCCTGTGGCGCATTTTCAATAGACAGCCAGGTGAGTACGATTATACAAGTGCGAGCAATA